CATGGCCGGAGAAGCGGTGCGTCGGTGCGCGCCCGGGATCCGAACTCGGGCCGCCAGCAGCGGAGCGCATGCACTTGACGGCTAAGCCACGGGGCCAGCCCTGCCCTATTTTCTATTTAATTTTTTAACCATGCCTGCAATTGTCTCATTTTAAATAAATGAAAATCTACCAAAAAAAAGTTGGGTTGGATATAAATTTGCTTTTAACCACATTACAAAGTTTTCCTGTAGATTCTTTTCTCAAGAGGGGCCAAAAGGCTCTTCCTTTCCTCTCTCTACCTCATGCTTAACAACCATGCGTTGGGAATAGGTGGCGCCTGTCTCAGAGAGATGCACACTGGCCTCGGCACATGTTCTTGCCCTTTTCATTCCTGTCCCCATCACAATTGATTTCTAAGACCTCCCTCACTAGCTGGACCCTGGGGCTGAATGCCAAGGTGAAGGCGGTCTTATCCACAAAGCCTACATGCAGGGACTCACAATGTGTCTTGTGTGTTGGGGTCCCTGATATAACTGGGCTGCCATGAAGGACCCCACTGGGCGTCAACCCCTTCTCCTCCAGGGAGGCTACAGGAGACACCAAATGTTGCCTCTCCTTCCTCTCAGCCTCCAGCAGAGCTCTCTGTATTGCTTAGCAGGTGTCTGTGGAGGAAAGAGGTGATGTGTTGGAAGGAGGTGTGGTGAGGAGGGTTGAAGAAGTGTTGGAGGCCACCAGGGCAGTGGGATGCTAGTGGAGTCTGTGACCATAGCACCCTATGGAGTGCTCCCTTTTCCCAGTGCTTAGTGTCTGAGTCAGCCTGCCATTTGCCCTGTGCATTGTCCCATGGGACAGGAATGAAGCCTTCATGGTGGGCTTTAGGCTTGGGGGCTGCCTTGGTGCTCACCTGTGGCCAATGTTTCAGCTCTTTGGTGAGAAAGCTCTAACCTGAATGGGCTAGCCGGTACAACTCCAAGAGCCTGCCATTGCTCCTGGGACCCGTAGGTGCACCATTTGACTCCATATATCAAGTGTATCCAGTCGGCTTGGCAAACACTTTGAAAGGGCCCTCAAGCCCTCTCTTCCTCCAAGATGTTCTGTGACACTTTCCCTGGCCTCATCGTGAGTGGCCAGTCCTTCTGGGCATCCGGGTCTCTCTGCGAATGTTTGTCTATGTCCAGGCTCTATCTTCCCTGGAGAAGATGAGATCCTCCTTTCAGTGCTCATTGTGGAGCTTCATGACACACAGGTTTAATGAGTATTTGCCAAATGAATGAAAAGCTGGATTAGGGGTAGGGGGCAGCAACCAGCTCACCTGATCTCATCCACAAGGTTTCTCTATTTGGGATTGGGCAGACAAGCTGAAGAGATGGGCCCTTACACAAGGAAGAGAGTTATATCCAAAGGTTCCAGCATGACTTGTTGAGCCATAATGCAACAGCAGAAGGCAAGGGAATCAGCCAGCTCCAATTGAGACTACTCTTGCTCAGCAACAAGCCGTACTTAGACCCTTGGATCTGACTGGTAGGGCTGGCATATTCAGATACAGGAGAGATTATGACAGGAAACCAAAACAGGAGTACAGGAGCAATGTATGGATTATCAGGCACTGAATAAAAGCCTTCCCTGATTCCCTCACCTCAACAACTAGTAGTAATTAAAGAAGAATTTGAATAGTAATTCTTGTCCTCCTCCCTGCCTCCACACAAATGACCATGTGCTTGGAACAAGGAGCATCCACTCTCAAGTGGACATGCCACAGAGCCTTAGCAGAGACTCACATCTCGCTTCTGACCCCTGACACATCCAACATTTTACCTACAAACCCTGGCACCTCTGCCAAGCTTCAGGCCCCCATAAAGGCATATGAAGAGCTGGTGGTATTGGTAACACAGGACTAAGAAAAAGAGGTCATAATGTCCACTCTGTGACAAACTACTGATGTAAATGAATTGAGTGAGATCAGTGGGGCCAGGGAGTGCAGTCCTATCTTCTCTGGAAAGCCTCACTTCTCATCTTCACCTCCATCTGGGTCCAGGCAAACCCTGGATCCAGCAGGGTAGAGGGAGTAAATTCCAGGGCCACAGGGCCTTGAGGCCCCATGTTCTTGTCCTTCCTACTAAGCCCTTGCCTACTATCGAAGTGTGGTGAGTAGAGCTGAGCGCACACCCTCGCCCTGCTGTGCCCCAAGATCACATAGAGGGACCTC